CTAGCTGAGGAGAGACTACCCTCTTCAAGCTAGCCAATGCTTAGAGAGAGCACAGGGCCAGGCCCAGGGCACACCTTTGATATGCAATTAAACAATCTAGAGTCTTACCTCTTCTATCTGGCCTGTACTTCCCAGGAGGCAATATTCCTCTGCCTTAATCAATCAAAGGCCAGGCACCAGGCAACAATGGATCACCCCTAAAGCTTAAAGCTCCCCAAAAATCCTCAAACTAGCCAATCCGAACCTGCTTGCCCTGCCTTGCTTGCTTTTCCTCTGGAAGCTCAAGTGAACAGCATGGCCCAAGTCCTGCCTTTGTTCCTGCCTCTTCTGCCTCCTGACTGACATTGTCATCTTCTAGTATGACATGCTGTGACCCCTTCTCTGGTACCTGTGAATATAACAACCTTTTTCCTTCCAAGCCTCATTGTTTTCTCCTGTGGCCACACCAGTTGTATCATACCACATCCAAAATTTAGATTTTTAAAACAATATGTTTACAAGGATTTTATGTTTTAAGTATAGTGTTATAGCAATAAGTGTGAAAGTTAGGTATTTATATCATAATTTCTAGAGCAGTGGTTCTCAATCTGAATTGATTTTTGCCACCAGGATACAATTGGCAATGTCTGGGGACATTTTTGATTATCATAACACATGTTACTGGCATCTAGTGGGTAGAAGTCAAAGTTACTATTAAAAAATTGTACGATGCATAGAACAGTGTTCCACACCAAATGTCCTATCCAAAATGAAAATAGTGCTGAGGTTGAGTCACTCTTCCCTAAAGCAACTGAAAAATTATTTAAAATGTTATAGCCAAAAAGTCAGTAGATTGATTAAAATTGAATTATAAAGATATTCAAATAATTAATAAAAAGGTTGAAAAGAGAACAAAGGAACAAAAAAATAGCAGGGGAAGCAGAAAACAAATAGGTAGTCTTAACTTCAACCATATCAAAATTATATAAAATGTGAAGGGACTACACACTCCAATTAAAAGAAAGAGATGATCAGAAAGGATTAAAGCATGACCCACTATGTCATCTGTATAAGAAACACACTTTGAATACAAAGACATAAATAGTAAGTGAATGAAGAAAAATACATATATTATGCAAAAAATAAGTATAAAAATGGTGGAGTAGGTATAATACTATAGGATACAAAATTAGACTTCAAGACAAAATATTGCCAGAGGTAAAGAGGAACATTTCATAATGAAAAAAGCTCAAGTCATCAGGAAAACATATCTATCATTAAATGTGTATGCACTTATTAATAGAATCTCAAAACATATGAAGCAAAAAAAAATATTATAAAGACAAGAAAATCCCATAATGATAGATTTTAACATTACTCTTTCAGTAACTGATAAAAAAAACTAGACAAAAATCAGTAAAAATATAATCTAAAGCATACTATCAAATACAATAAACCAATTAATATTTAGGAAACTACATACAAAATTCTTTTCAAATGAACATGGTGCATTCACAAAAATATACTATAGTTCAGTAAATAAAGTAAGTCTCAGTATATTTTCAAGGATTAAAATCAAAGACAGTATGTTCCCTAATTTAAAATTCAGTAATATTTAAATATCTAGGAAAACTAAAAATATTTGGAAATTAGCCAATACATCTTCTGAAGTATCCATGGGTCAAAAAATCACAAGAAAAATTCCAGACAATATTTCTAACTGTATGACAATAGAAGCACAACATATCAAAACCCCTGAGCTGCAGTGAAAGCAATGCTTAGAAGGAAATTTGCAGCTTTAAAATGATCATATCAGACAAGAATAAAGGCCTAAAATCAATGTCCCTAAGTTCCAAACTAAGAAATTTCATGAAGAAAAATCAAAGTAAAGGTAGAAAAATAGAAAAAATAAAGAAAATAGCAGAAAGCAAATAAATACAAATCAAACAGTAGTGACAATTAGCAAAGTGAACATAATGTTCTTGTAAAATCTGATAGACTTTATAAAACTGACAGATTCATCAACAGAGAAAACAGAGAGAACACAGGTCATTATCAGAAAGAAAGGATGTCCCTAAATATCTTAATGACAGTAAAGGGATAATAATGGAATTTTATTAACAATGTTATTCTTTCAATACAACTCAAACTTTAGAAAATCCTTGAAAAGTACAATTCACCACAATAAACACAAAATCAAAGAAAAAATATTAGTAATGCAACACTTACAAAGCAAATTACTTTTATTATCAAAACTATCTCACCAAGAAATCTAAGGCCCAGAAGATTCCCCTGTAAATTCTTTCAAACATTCAAGGAAGAGATACTACCACTCATATACAAAAGTAAAAGAGGAGGGAATATTTTCCAACTTGTTTTATGAAGCCAGCATAACCCAAATACAAAACATGGCAAAGACATTGAAATGTCTGGCAAAAGAATGAAAATAATAAACTAATGTCTCTCATGAACATAAATACAAAACTCCTGAATAATATATTAGCAAACTTAACCCAACAATGTATGAAAAGAATAATACATCATGACTAAATGAGTTTATCTTAGTAATATAGGGTTGATTTAATATTTGAAAATCCTAATAAAAATGAGATTTTTTAAATAAGGCAAGCTGATGGAAAAATAAATGTGCATAAATAAACATAAAGTCTTTAAAAAAGATTAAAAACAGGGGAGTAATCTACCAGATATTAAATATAATAAAATATGATATTAAGACAATTTTATACTTTAATAAACAAATAAATGAAATGGAATGGAGAATAGAGAAATAGACACAAATACTTGAAGTAATGCAAATATGATAAAGAGGAAAAGATGTATTACTGAATATATGATGTTCAGATACTAGCTTGTTATCTGGATAAAACAATAAAGCTGATTGCATATTTTTTTCCTTAAGGTAAATTCAAGATGAAACATAAACTTAATCACTTTTTAAAATAAAATTATAAAAACACCAGAAGAAAAATTGGAAATATATTTTACAATTTCAGCTTAAAGAAAGCCATTTTTTAAAAGATATAAACTTAGAAGCCTGGCAAGACTGGTACCTTTGGCAATCTAAAACTCAAAGACAGTAAAAGAACTTAAGAGATCTAATAAACCAGGAAAAAATATTTGCAATGTATATGGCAGAAAAGGAACCAAGTTCTTTGATATATAAAGAGCTCTTAAAAATCAATAAGACAAATTCAATATTCAAATAAAAAAACTAAATTATGGGCTATGGTCAAAATATGCAGTACATAGAAAAAATAAAATAAAATGGCTTTCTCCCGTAAGAAGAAACATGCTCAGCTTTCTTCAAATTCTAGTGATGGAAATTGAAACAAAAACATTTTTTTTTATCACACTGGCAAAGCAAAACAGTTTCATAATATACAATGTTAGTAAGGATGTGTGGTAAAGGACACTCTGATACTTCGTGGGAGCATAAATTGGTGTCACCTATTTACATGGCAATTTGGCAATATCTATCTGTTGAAAATCACATGACTTTTGATCTAATAATTCCTATACAGTAACTTGCGTTATAGTTATATTTGTATATTTGTGCAAAATCCTAAAGGCAATGGTATTTTATAGTAGCATTTTTTATACTAGCAAATGTAAAAATAAGTATCCATTAGTAAGGGGACTAGACAAAGAGAGTGGGCTTAAAAGGGAATATTTTGCACTATTATAAAACTGAGGTTGGACTATAGATGACCATATAATAAAGTCTCCAAGGTGTAACACTGGGTAAATTAGCTTGTGGCAGGACAGTTTATAACATGTGTTTCCATTGGGTAAAATCATTTATGATAAGTGTCTGTGTGTAAATACATACTTAAAATGTGTATAAACACACATATATTCACACAATGACATTTGTATTCTTTTATATTTATGGACTATTTCTTTAAAAAACAAATACACATAACTGCTGACTATCACCTATGGAATTAATGCTGGAGAACTGAGAGCCTGGGATGGGAGACAGATTCCCTGAAAATAAACTTTTTTATGATGTTTAAATATGTTTAGAATGTGCTTATGTTTTTGAAAAAACCACCAGTTCAAAAAGCTAATGAACTAAGTTAATTAAGCACTTCCAGTATCCATGAAAAGAGTAAGATAAAAATAGGCCTTCGACTGGGCATGCTTGTATGGAAAACAAATCACTACATCACACTGCACCTTTTCAGTACTTTAGAAAACATTTTCAGTTCTTACTGTGTAGCAGGTCCAACGCCAGGTGCTTAAAAGACAAAGGAAAAAGAAAGGGTACCTGCCTTCTAGGAGCTCACAGTGCAGTAGGAAGAGCTGACACTCAGAGGCTCAGAGGGATACTGGTGTCCTGGCTTAGATCTGAAACATTTACCAAAGAGTTTCTTCTGAAACCATAACAAGAACTTTCTCAGTTCAGTAATCCTCCTCTGTAGCCCCCTCCAGGACTCTTCGTAAGTGTCAGCATCCCAGAGACAGTTCATGTCCCCTCCATGAAGCTTTTTAAAGAGACTTCTTTAAGAACTATTGTGGATTCTGTCCACTGAGCTTTACAGAATAATTTCAGTCCCTAAAGGCAACATGCTTTTTCCACCTGCACTCCTTTGGCTGGGCGTTCCTTCAATATGAAATGTTCTTAAACTTTTGTTCTCCCCCTTTGGCTACCTACTTTCCCAAATCAAATACTGGCGAAAGTGTGTCTCCAGGAAAGCTGCTCTGATTCTCTGCCACACGAATTAGGTTGAGAATTTTTCCGCCATGCTCCCTCACCTTAATGCAACCATTCATTTGTCAGGGTCTCATTTTAAAGGACAAATTTACTTCTAATTGTATCCCTGGAGTCCAGGAGGAAGTAGGAATTCGATGATTGTCTGATGAATCCAACCGTAGAGCTTCCCCACCCATCATGGGCTCTCCCAGCTGACGTTACTGAACTGAGTGAGCTTTGTGAGTGATTCCCTGTATGGGCCACCCCCACTGCACCACTGGCCCAAATCTAAGATCCTACTCACTTGTCCAGTGACATGCCAGGGAAGGCAAATTTGCCCAAGCAGACGCAAGAGACAGCACTCAGGGGAATCCGCTGCAACTGCACACAGCTGAGCATGATGAAGTCGTACTTGCAGATCAGCAGAGTCTTGTCTGTGATCAGCAAAATCCTCTCCTTCTCGTTGTTCCAGTGGTCTATCCTGGAGGAATCATCACAGAAAAGAAAAGTTGATGACATACCTTTCCAAGTTAAGGATAACAGCATTCACTGAAACATCTCAACCAACACAGAAGATGGTTTGTCCGGCCCACGACCAAGGGAGAATGAATGGTCAAAGATCACAGGGAAATGTTTTACGGTCACAGAGCTGAGAGATGATTATCAATGAAGGGATCACCAGGGACAAGCAAGTTTGTATCATGCCAGCCATCAGAAGTTTCATGCTCCTCCACATCTTCCCAGTTCTCAAGGAAATTTGCATGGAGCACATCTTCCTCCACAAAGACCAGAAACATCTCTTTGTTCTAACTCAAACTGTACTACATGCCTTACTCGCTACACACTAGTTCACACTAGTCTCCAAAGGCCCCATTGCTGACCAGAGATAAAATGGAGACTTGAGCTCAGTTCCATTGACCCCCATGCCATCAGTATTCCAGCTCATTCTGTCATATTCTTGAGGTAGAAACAGCGAAACAACTGAAGTGGGACTCTTATGAGCCAAGGACAAAGTACACATTAAAGAAGTGTTTACTGAATTGATTTGCTTTGGACTTGAGAGCCTTTAAAGGCATGCATGGAAAATTTGGAGTTAAGAACCTCTTCAACAGAGAGAACAAGAGGGAATCAAACACATGCTCTGGTTAGAAGAAAGAGAGCATAATCTATAATTCCTCTCACCCCCAGCACTTGTGTCTACAGTAACCTTTGGGATTCTATATAGCGCTCTGTGACTTTTATTAGAATTGTTTCAGTACATGTTTGTTTGCCCTAAAAGACTGAAAAGGATGCTTTATGACTGATTCATATCTTAGTCTTCACTACACAGAATCAATCTAATGTAAAAATAGTACTGGCATCCCATTCCCATCCATTCTCACACAGTAACCACAGTGCTATTTTTAAAGTACAAGCAGAATGATATCACTCCCCTGTTCACTTTATGAGATTTATAGCATCCATTTAATCTTAGGATCAAATCCAAGTTAGTTAACATGGACTGCAGGTCCCTATATGGTCTGGCCTCCACCCAATGTCATCTCATACAAGGCTGAGAAAACTCCTTGTCCACAAGTCATGGTTCAGATGCCTCATTCAAAGAGAATTTCTTAAACTCCTATGTAAACTTTCCCCCTTATTGCATTCTCTCAAAACATCCTGATCCTTTTTCCTTTGTGAGACTTACCACTGTTTGTAGGAAGGAATGACTTGTAAAATGTTTAGCAACAGGTGCCACATGGACACTGACTGATCAGAACGGACACAAAGTACAGAAGATAGGGCAATGCCAGTGAGGATGGGCTGAGGGTCATCCTTGTGTGTGCATGTGTGTCTGTGTGTGGGGGGGGTGTTCAGTGAAGGCAGACACTGTGTCTATAGGCTACTCACTGTATCCAGGTCCTGTCAAATAGCCTGCACTGAGTAAATATCTGTTGGTGAACAAATGAATACCAATCATAATCATTCTGGAAGTCTCAGGGCTGGGTGAGGGTGGGTGTGGAAGCTTCCAGCTCTGTCATTTACTAACTCTGTAAGATTGGACAGCCAACCTGTCTCCAGCCCATGTTCCCTATCTGTGAAATGGGGACAATACCCGTTCTCATCTCGTAAGTTTGGGAAGAGAGTTTAGGGAAATGATTCTCTATGAGTGCTCTACAAATTAGATATTATCACCGATGGACCTAAGTCACTGAGTAATTCTGGGTAACCCAAATATATGCCACTCCTCAGAGTAGCCTAAAGACAGACAGGCAAGAAAAATCAATGGGGGGAGGGGAAGCAGGAGAAGTGAAGAAGAGAAAAAGGGAGATGAAGGAGAAAGAAAGAGGGAGAGGCAAAATGAAGAAAGTAAGAAGGATGAGATCGTTGACGGAGGCCCTAGTCTTTGCTGGTCATTATGTACATATAAGTATTAGCTCTGTATCTCCACACCACCCTCAGAAGAAAGTCACATCTAAATTCACCCAGCCAGAATATGACAGCAGACAGAGGGACAGCGCCTGAGATGTGGTTTAAGTCTTGTTCTGTGGTTTACATCCACTCCGACACAGCAAACACTCAACTCCTGCTCCACTGCGAGAAGGAGAGAATTCTTGATAATCTGTTCATCACTCTCAGTCTTAGTCAGAAAGAGATGGGGACTCTGAAATATCTTATCAGATATCTACATAAGTGTCTCTAAATAGATTGCATCTACTTAGCAAGTATAAGCTGCTGCCTAATAAACCAGTCTTGTTTTTAGTCTAAAAAAACCCACAGCTTTCGGTTGAATGGTTTTACTGAAAATGTCAGCACTCCATAATGAGATTTATTTTAAAAGGTAAAGGATGCAGGAAAAAGGAGACTTCTTTTTAGGAACACAAAGTGCTCTGCTGTGACACACACTTTGCATAATTCAAATTGGGCAAGTCTAAATTCAAGTAAACACACAGGCTTATAAATAGTTCAGGGCCACCATCTCCAGCTCTTGGGTGGGATATTTATTTATTTAGATTTCAAACACGCCTTTTTTTCCCCAAATAACTTAGTGGAGACAACACTGAAATTTGTGTTCCTAATACTAATATAATTGAAGTTTGGCTGGCAATAATAACTACAAAAAATATAGGATTAGAAGTGGCAACAATATTCTGTGCCTGTATAGCTCATGGAGATGTACAAAGCCTTTGAATATCAATATTCTCATTCAGTCCTCACAACACCCCTTTGGACTAGATGCCATTACCGTCATTTTAACAACAATGAAACTGAGGTCCAGAGACTCTTAAAAAGACTCACCATTTACACCCAGCCAGCAGTTAAGAGCCAGCAGGGACCTGGAGCAGAACTATGACCCCACATCCGGCCATGGTGTTGGCTTTCTCCGCAGTGCTACCCACCTTCACACAGAAGACCCTTCAGCATGATGTGTCAACTGGGCAAGATGCACCTCTGGAAGACGCTGATGGGATCACGTGGAACACTCTTGGAGTTGTTCTCTCTGGGAAGCCTGTCCCCTGACCAGCACTCATCAATGTCCCCTCCAAACCTCGTCCTCTCCCAGAGTTCCCAATCCTGAGGAAGAGCCCTCCTTCCATCCCATTATGTAAGCTAGAGACCTAGCAGTCATTCTGGACTCATCCCGTCACCCTAACTCACATCCTGATTCCTAAACATTCTACTCCCCACACCCCTCTCAGAACCACCCACCTCTCTCCATCGTGGCCTTCGCTCTCCAGACCCAGTCTTCCCTCATCTCCTGCCTGCACGATGGCATCACCCTCTCACTAGGTTTGGGCTACTCATCACCTAGACCTGGTTTACCTACATCTAGTTTTGTTCCCTTCCAACCTCTTTCACCATACTGCAACGAGGTGGGCCTTTTGAAAAGACAAATCTGGTCTTCATTTCTCTGTTCTTGCTTAAAACACTTCAATAATTCCCCAGAGGTCAGGGGAGAAATAATAAAAATTCTTCACCTGGTCAAAGATGTTCTGCCGGATCAGGCCCTACCTAGCTCTTCAACCTCACTCCAGGCAAAGTTTCCCCACTGCATTCTCCTTGATCCTCTTTCAGTTTCCTGCATTCACCATGCCCACTCCTACTAAAAGGACTTTGCACACACTTTCCCTCTGCTGGCAGGGTTCTTCTTGATCTCCTTTATCTACTTAGCTCCTGTAGTGCTGAGCTCAGCTACCCATTACTCAAAGAAGCCTTCCCAGACCTCTGAGATTACTTCTTTTCCTTCTAATATATTCTTTTATAGCACCACACATTTCTCCTTCATATTGCTTATCCCAGATGCAATTTTACAGTTATTTCTGTTATTATCTGATTAATATTTGTCTCCTATACTATAAACTCTACAGTCAGTTCTTAGCATTGTGTCTCCAAGGTTGTGGGTGTACAAAAAATATTTCTGAAATGAATTAGTGAAGAATTAACAATCCTTGTGCTGTGCAACCAATATGCCTTGGCTCACACTGCTTGGAGATTCCTATCCTCAGGTTTACACATTGATTGAAATACACCCCCTTAAAATAGCACATTTACAAAAAATAATGAGCAATGCTGGGGAAAAGTTCATACCTTACAGTGAGAAAGAGCAGGATACAAAATGCAACCTGCAGTATACTTCCAGTTTTGTAACAAAAACACATGGGTCAAAATGTTAACACTGTCTCTGAGTAGTGGGGTTTCAAATGACTTATTTCTTTTCATTCTTTTGTTAGCCAGATTTTGCTGTTGTTGTTTGAGACAATGAACATATTCTACTTTTATGATACAAGAGATAGTTTGAAAATAGTAAGTCTTACCCATCCTTCAAGTTCACAGTTGAATGCTATCTATTTCGTGGAGCCCTGGCCCCACCTCCCTCACCAGAGTGGATGCCATCCTTCCTGCCTTTAAGTACACACCTAAGCCTTCATTGGTGCCTCAGTTGTGATGCCAGTCAGTCTTCTTTATAGAACAGTGATTTCTGCACTTCTCCTATCATTCCCTCCACAAGTGATGAGACCCTCTAGTGCACAGACAGTACCATAGTCTTATCCGGGTCCCCACATTGTGTCCAGCCCAGAGCCCAACAGAGAGCAGGGTCTTAGTAAGTGAGCAGACCCTGGAATGAAAAACTGAAACATACGATTCACCCCTCCAGTTATGAGAGCGAGTCTCTCCTGGCAGAGGACTGACCACATCTCCTCTGGCCACTGCTGTTCCTCAGCATCACTGTCATTCCATAAAGAGCAAGGGTCCTAGCCCTCACCCCCACCCCGCTATTATAGGATTATAGGAGGGAATCTAAGAGCCCTGAGATTTGCAGTTTCCTGGGATGACATCAGTTTCACCAGCAGAGGGCAACAGCGAACTAGCAATGACAGGCAAGACCTTAAGAGCAAGTTTCCAGGACCCCCACACACAGTGTAACTCAAACCATCCTAGACGCTTTCCCAGTGGCCCCAGCCCCATGCCTAGCAATACTTTGAGTTGCTCTTTTAAGGT